ATTGTTGAGACGAGGTCTTGCCAAGTTGCCTGGGCTGATCTCGAACCCGCTGGCTCAGGCAATTCACAGCCTATAATCCCAGCACTTTGGGAGGCCGAGGCAGGTGAACGATCCTTTTTTGGTAAATACTAAACACACAAACAGAAGTACACACATACTGCTAGAAACAATGTAGCAATCACTTATTTACTGACAGTCCAGATGAAGAAATGTTAACATTTGTGATTTAGCTTTTTTTATTTAGGTTTTTTTTTAATAAAGGAAAACAGAATATTTCAGATTTGTCAGTGGAGTACCTTATGTTTAGTGACTCTTTTTTTCTCCCAAATCCTCATCTTTTATTGATTTCATTTTCTGTTTATTTCACTGAGCCCTCCACTGATAAGTGCTGGTGTTAGAGCTATTCTTGTTCCTAATACAAATGCTAGTAATATCACACTGTGAATTTAATGTTTGAGTTTTGCTATAAGTTTTCAGTAGATTCCAGGCTGGGAAAATCACCTTCTATCATTGTTTAACTAGATGTTCCTCTTCCTCCTAATTATGAATGACTTTCCATGGGGAGAGCTCCTTGATAACTTTTTATAATCTGTTAGATATTTACTTCTTCATTTTAGTCTTTTATTTTTTTCCAGAGTGCATTTTTATATCCTCCAGTTTCCTAGAAATATCCCCTTTCTCCAGATTTTCAAATGTATTCATATTGGCTTTTTATAATGTCTTTAAATCCCCTGAGCATCTGTGTTTATGTGCCCTCTCTTGTTTCTAATCTTCATCAGCTACATTTTCTCCTCCTATTTTCTCAATTAAGCTAATTGAAGGCTTATCTTTTTTATTACTTGTCTTTCTTAGAAGAAAGAGGCTCTTTAAACATGCACATGAGCTGCCATTTTCCTTAGACCCTCAGACTCACTTTATTATAGATGAACTACATTGAGGTCAGTAGATTGACAAGAACAAAGGACTTGATCGTGCTGATGACCCGTTCACGTATACGCTAACGCTCAGAGCAGAACTCTACCTGCTCCTTCTCCAGAGACTGGCAGGAGGGTGTCTTCCCACCCATTGTCCCAGAAACCCTTACTCTGGTACCCCAGACCTACCTCCCATGCGTCGGTCCCCATGTGTTCTGTTTCGATGTGAGTGATTTGATAGCCAGCCTGCATTTTGGTTTTGATTTCCAACTGGACCCAAGGCTTGCTTGTTCATAAATTTCTAAGTAGTTGGCTTGTTGCTGTTATTCTTATGTAAAAATAACTTCTTACTAGCTTGCAGTCCAAATATTTATTGTATCCTAGTTTTTCTTTAGGCACTTACTGATGTTTCTTATGGTCAATTTTTCTAACTGTCTTTGGACATCTGGAAAAATATATTCTCTATAATATTTTTGTTTTATGTGTTTTAAAAAAGATATTAACCCAACCTTATTATTTTATCCAGGCCCTCCCTCCCTCCCTCCCTCCCTTCCTTCCTTCCTTCCAACCTGAAAGTATTTTATTAAATATTTCTCACTACCAGTCTCCCCTTTTCCTGTTCTCACCAACTTTTGCTCTGTGTATTTCAGTGCCATGCAAGGAAACCCACAGGCTTGGATTTTCATGGTATCTTTGTTGCTCACTGTCCTTCATGTTCATAACCTTTTTTTTTAATTTTAAAGATGTGGGGTACAATTCAGGATTGGGCATACAAAGTGGATATCATACAGGTAAAGTTTGGGCCTCCCTTTGGTCCCTACTATGCCTGGTTTCGGATCAGATACCCATGTTCATAACTGACTCTCTTTGTCCTGTTTAGTTCTTTTGATCTTGAATTTAACTTTTTCTCATGTTACGATTGTCACCCCTGCTTCCTTAATTGACCTGTTCCCAGTCCGTCTTTGCCCGTCCCAGGTTTCACGCAGAGGTCATTTGTGTCTTCTGAACCAATCTGAGTGTGTTCTCCTTTTGGTAGGTGAGTGAGGACTGGGGTTCTTGTTTTTATTCTGCCATCCACATTCTAGATCTATCAGCATTGAATTCTGCTCCCCCATGACTCAGAAAAAGTATTGAGTTCCTCAGGCAGAACTAGTAGGAGAGTGTGGTGTCCACGTGGGTGATTAAGCTGTGCTCTGCAATCGTGTCATTTAAATTTCTTTTATCATTGACAGTAATGTTCAGCATGCACCTAGTTCTTTTTGGCTTAGAATCTAAATCACTGTTTCCTAAACAGAGTCCTGTATTTTGTAATGACAAGGTATTAAATAAAAAGACAAGACCTACACTGTGAGTTGTGTTAGCAAAAATAATTACTTTTTTTTTTTTTTAGCTTTTTCTTATGCTAATTCCCAAGACTTCCTGCTGCTTTGGAGTTCATTTTTCAGTCTAAACCAGCACCTTTGAGGAAACCTCCTTGTATGATGCTGAATATTAAGCCAGGGTGCTATCAAAGATAACACAGATTGCATTAAAAGGAGTAGTGATGGAGTAATGTTGGGTAGCTGTGAGTGAACGGTGACTTGGTTGTTTATCAACTGCAGTTGGCCTCAGTCAAAGGGAGCTATTTCCATCTAGATTGGCCCAACCTAATCAGAATTGCTCCAGCCTGCCTGCCGTTCACACCTGAATTGCTTTCAGGTAGAAGACAAGGAAAGCCAGAAGACAGATGTGAGCAATCGGTACTCACATCTCCTCTTAACTTTACAGAAATACAGTTTTAAAACCAGCACCAGTAGTGCCCAATACAAGCAGTTTATGCATGCACGTTGTGAGAGAAAACGGCAGAATGTGACCAGTTGATAAAGAGCTTTCTGTGTTTATCTTCGGTAAGGAGCCTGGAGACTCCAGGAGTGGTGGGGACTGGGTTAGAGATGTCTGTCCATCTGTAACCTTTAACAGAATGACTGGAGAGTAGTGTGGACTCTTTGGTGGATACCATCTCGGGGAGACATGTACGGCCCATCTCGCAGACCTAACCCATTGATGGCCTGCCTGGCAGGTCACAGAATCGCAGGACAAGGCCAGAAGTAAGACACTGGGGAGTGTGTGGGTGGGGCCACACACGGGATTGTCCTGGCCATGGAGCAGCTGCTCTGGGGTCCTTGCTAATTATGGTCATGACCGAATGGGTGTCCAGAGTAGCCATATCTCTCTGTCATGTGTGTGCAAGAGAATTCAGAAAATCTGTAGGTTCATGTAAAAGTCCTTAATTTTTTTGCATTTGTTCGTGACTTTAAACAAATAGACACATACACAGAAAGCTGTTGGTCTTGTGTCAGAGCGTGTTCTCGTTGCCAGAGTAAAGCTGTGGAAGAGCGTGGCTCAGAGGGAGGCGTGTTTTGTTTACTCATTCCCTGATCCTCTAAACATGGTTAGCCACCCGTTATAGCAGGGATCCCCAATCCCCCCGGGCCGTGGACTGGTACTGTCCCTGGCCTGTTAGGAACCAGGTGGCACAGTGGAAGGTGAGGTGTGCAGCTGGTGAGCGGAGCTCCATCTTCTGTCAGATCAGTGGTGGCATTAGATCGTCAAAGAAGTAGATCCCTCTTGTTAACTGGCATGCGAGGCATCTAGGTTGCAACTTCTTATGAGAATCTAATGCCTGATAGTCTGAGGTAGAGCTGAGGCAGTGATGCTAGTGCTAGGGAACAGCTGCAAATACAGGTGAACATGAGCAGGGAGGTTTGACTGTACACCCTCCCCACCCAGTCCATGAAAAAATTGTCTTTCACGAAACCAGTCCCTGAGGCCAAAAAGGTTGGAGACCACTGCATTATAGGATTCAGTAGCCTCTACTGCTCCTTTTTGTTACATGAATAAAGACATAATTACGTATCAGCATCTGGGTTCATAACTAGACAGTTTCATGAAGCGAGAAGGATCTCACAGTACCTGAGTCTAGCCTAGGGCCTAACCTAAGATGGATAGATCACACTTGTTGAAAGATAACGTTTTCTTTTCTGCTTTAACCCTCAACTTCCTGTATCTGTTTGGCTTTCTTTACCTCACTCCCTGAATTTAGAAGCTCAGGACTTCATGTTTTCATTTTAAAAATATCCTTTCTCGGCCGGGCTTGATGTAATCCTCGCAGTTTGGGAGGCTGAGGCAAGTGGATTGCCTGAGCCCACGGACCAGCCTGGGCATCTTAGCAAGACCTCGTCTCTACAATCAATCAATCAATCAATCAATCCCTTTCTCTACACACTTTCTCTTCCCCTTTAAAAACCTGGAGTGGGCTGTTCTTCCTATAGACTGCTGCTCTGCCTATAGAGTAGCCTGCTCTTTTCAATACATTTGCTTTCATTTTTCAAGTGAAATCCCAGCAATGTTTGGGGACTGGTCTGCCTATGAAGTAGCCTTCTTCCTGTCCCTCTTTTCTTTTAATAAACTTACTTTTGCTTTAAAAAAAAAAAACTTGGAGTGATTATACCAAGATGTGTCCCCTCCTTAAGTCCCTATCATTTCTGGAGAAGTTTCTATCAAGTCACAGATAAAATTGTATGATAAAAGACTTAGGAAAAATTCAGACACAGCAGAGATGATGGGTTGGCATTGGACATGATGTCACATAGAAGGCAGTTTTAGGGCTTGGTGATTATCAAGGACATTTTCAACTTTAAAGTGCGTGTAATGCGTAGACACAGATACCTGAGGCAACATGTCCTGTGATGGAAATGTTTTTGTGCCACTGTCTCAGGAATGCATTTTGGCAGGAAGATGACGGAGACTCGCAGGAAGAGCCGCTGAGAGATGGTCTTCTCTTCCCGGCTACAGGACCATCTGAACACAGAAGACCTTTCTTTTTTTTTTTTTTTTTTTTGCCGAGGCCAGGCCTGTAAAAATGCACTTTATTGGCTCCCAGGGGGTGGGAGAGCAGGGTCAGAGTGGACACGATCAGGACTGGAGATGGGTGTGACAGAGCAAGATGCTGAGCCTGTCCAGGCCTTGGTTTCCCTGAGGACAGACATGAACAAGACTACACTGGACAGCAGCCTGGAGTCTCACAGTGGGATGGAACATGGGCCCAGGTTGCTGGGCAGTGCCCTCAGCTCCTGGCGGGGTCTGAGGGTAGTAGCCACTGGGCTCTGTTAGCTGAGCACTCGCTGGCACTTGTCCCACCGTCCGGCTTCACTTCCGGGCTTGCTCATAGTTGTCAGTGAACCAAGTACTCATCTCCTTCACAGCCTGCTTGAAGGGTGTGAAGTGGAAGTCGGGCAGGTAGGCACGCAGCTTGCTGTTACTGGCTGTCTTCTAAAACTGCCTGTCTGACTTGGTTGCATCAAAAGTAACTTCCCCATGGAAGTCCATGGCCTCCACCACTGCCTCAGCTGCCTCCTTGATAGAGACCTCATCTTCCTTACCCACTGAAAAGATGATGGGTTCCACCTCGTTGTACTTCTGCAAGACCCAGATAAAGAGCTGGGTCAGGTCCAGCGAGTATATGAACTGCCTCCGTGGCTTCCCTGTACCCCACACTGTCAGGGCTGAGCTGCTGCTCTTGGCCAGGTGCACCTTGTGGATGAGGCCAGGCAGCACATGGCCGTCTTCGATGTTGAAGTTATCGTGGGGCCCGAAGGCGTTGGTGGGGATGACAGCAGTGAGGGTGCAGCCGTGTTGCTGGAAGTAGGCCTTGTTCTGCACATCGATTATCCTCTTGGCAGATGAATACCCAAAATTGCTGCTGTGTGGTGGTCCGTTGTGAATCACGGTCTCATCAATAGGATAGGTAGTTTTGTCAGGAAAGGTACAAGTGGACAGGCAGGATACCACCTTGCAGGCGCCCACCTCAAAGGCCGAATGCAGAACATTGTCGTTGATGTGCACATTTTTTCTCCAGAAGTCCAAATTGTATTTGATGTTCCGGAACAGACCCCCCACCGTTGCAGCAAGATGAATGACATGTGTGGGTTGGACCTTTTCAAAAAGGGCTCAGGTCTGTGCTGCATCTGTGAGATCAGCATCCTTGGAGGAGACAAATACCCAGTCCTCTCCAGGAAGGCCAGCCCCATCTGCTATCACCTTCTGGATAGCTCTGCCCACCAGTCCAGAGCCCCCTGTTACTAGGATCCGCGTGGACCCCTGGGTTTCACCCATTTCGGCTGTACCTTGGATCTCAGGAATCCTGGCGCAGATTGTTAGAACTGCTCTCAGTCAAAGCCCATATGTTACAGACAAGCAAGAAGCAGCGCCTTCGGGCAGCCCTGTGCCCAACCGCGGCTGGTTGGTCCTGTAGAGCCTTCACGAGCCTGATTTCTCCTGGGTAGGTCGCTCCACTGGCCCAAAACTGGATAGGCCATGAGGCGCCGCTATTCTCGAGGACCCTATCCTGCGAACCGGAAATCTGCCTGGGCTCCTCTACAACTGCTCTGCCCCCGCCATAGGGTCCCTACAGGAAGGAAACCTGTCCAGGCAACCCGCGTCTCCCAGCCTAGCGAGCAGCTCAACCAGAGGCCCCAGGGAGGACTTCAGCGCGGTTGGGCTCTCTCCTACGTCCCCGGATCCCAGACGACCCCCTCCCTGCCCCGAGTTCCTGGGCTCTCACGGGGTTGCCCAGGATCGCCACCCTGAGCCCCCAAGGGTCCTCTCAGTGTTAGGCACCAACTCCCACAGAAGACCTTTCAAGGACACATGTCAGGCTCTTCTGGGCTCAACCCGTGTCCTTGTGTAGAGGCTATCACTCTGTCCCTTGACAGTGTCATGGCAATTCTTTTGCTACTTTTCAACATCAAGTCTTCTGGATTCCTCTACGGGAGAAGTGGAAACTCTTGCTTGGGAGGACCAGTCAGTCATGCACATGAGTGAAGCAGAAAGGTGTAAGAGACTGTCAGACCCCCTGGGTGACCCCAGGTGGCTGAAAGCACAGTCAAGGCAGCAGAGGGAGCTATGCCTCCCTAGGCGCCACGTGCTTGTCCAAGACAGGAGATGCTATCAGTCCCGGTGACAGCTGACATCAGAATGTGAGCCCTGCATTGCCAGAACTTTCTCTCTTCAGAAGGCTGACGTGTTTATGCAAGCTCTTCCAATCCTTACCAGCTCATGATTAATCGCAAACACATTTTCCGTCTTGTGCAGGTCAAACAAAACAAGTTGACAGGTTGGATTTGGTCTTCAAGTCATCACCAAAGCCACAGCTTCCGTTCAAGCCAGAAACCAGGAGTTCTGGAAAGAGTATTCCTTAGGAAGCCAGAACCTTGCCTGCCTTCTCAGTCTCTTCTTCTTCCACCCTGTCTCCTCTGCCCATCCAATTCCTCTCAAGATGCTCGCCTAGGTGGGGACCATGGGCAGGAAAATCCACAACCTGACAGCAGGTCCTCATCTGCCATGCCCCGCCTGCCCTAGCGTGTACACCCATTAGATCAGAGTGTGGTGGTGAACAGTCCTGTGCTATTTACATTTTTTTTTTTGCTTTAAATTGGCTGATTCTACACAGTTAAGCTGATAAACATTAAACAATCTTATAATGTGTTTCTACTGCATTATCTTAGCTCCTCTAATTCTTTCACAGAACTTAAATAAAAACAGTTAACCGCTTGACTTTTCCAGAATGTTATAAACTCATCTGCTTAACCTTTTTTCATGTCTTTTGCCAAAGTACTGGAAAAGACTAAAAAAAAAAAAATAATAATAATAATAATCTTTTGGTTTTTTAGCTGGGCTCGGTGACTCAGCCTGTAATCCCATACCTTTGGGAGGCTGAAGTGAGTGGATTGCCTGAGCCCATGGGTTCGAGACCCGCCTGGGCAGTGAGACCTCATCTCTACAATAAATCAAAAAAAAATCAGCCGGAAGTGGTAGTGCATGCCTGTAATTCCGGCTACTCGGAAGGCTGAGGCGTAAGGATCGCCGGAGCCCAGCAGGCGAGGCTGCGGTGGCCGGGAGTGGCCACTGCACTCCAGTCTGGGCAACAGAGTGAGACTCCAACTCAAAAAAAGCCCAATCTTTTGTTTTTGTTCTAGAGGATATATTGATCTGCTGATGTCTCTGAAATCCTGTATTTGTATCCCCCTTTACACACAAAGGGTTCACTGGATAGTCTTGCAGTCTAGACATACAGCCTGGGAGTCAGAAGATCTGCCAGCCTCCAGACCACCCAGGGAAATGTCACAAAGCTTTGGTGAAACCCTGAGGCACAGTGACCTCCTCCTGGGTGGTGCCAGTGTGGGAGGAAGGATTCATTTGCATAACACAGTGGCAATGTGCTGCAAATACCTCCAATGCACACTGGATCTCTCGTGATGAGTCACTTGACTACTTTTAGAGCCTTTTCCCAGCCTCCCAGCCCAGGGTGCCTCTGTCACCAGCACTCTGGGGTTGCAATCAACAGTGCTGCAAGACATCCTGCCAGGGAACAAATACACAGCCGGCCTGGGAGAGGGCGAGTCCAGAGGGTCCACCTGACCGTCTCTGCTCTGGGTGTTTCCGAGTAGACAACGTGGTCGTCATGTGTCATCTTGAGTAATTAAACGCCCCTCCTCAAGCAAAAACCACTCTGCGATGGATTGAGTGGGACGGTTCCAAAGGGCAGCGGATCCACACGAAACAAGTCACAGAAAACACTCCCGGCTGGGCTGGGCCTCCAGCCAGAGAGTCCAGTGGGGACAGCGAGACAGTGTCGTTGGGAGATACCGTCCATCCCTCCAGGGCTGCTGGGCTGGGCAGAAGTGGTGGCCATGCTTGAAGAAAGAGAAACCGACGTAGAACTTTGAAAGTGTCGAGTAAGCTGGGCTCTGGCTCAGCCTGTAATCCCACGCTTTTGGGAGGCCGGGGTGAGTGGATTGTCTGAGCAAGCAGGTTCGAGACCCACCTGGGCAGCAAGATCTCATCTCTACAATAAATCAAAGAAATCAACCGGGCGTGGTAGCGCATGCCTGTAATTCCGGCTACTTGGAAGGCTGAGGTGGAAGGATCCCCGGAGCCCAGCAGGTCGACGCTGCGGTGGCTGGGAGCAGCCACTGCACTCCAGTCTGGGTGACAGAGTGAGACTCCAACTCAAAAAAATAAGAAAAATTTAAAAAAAGAAAGTGTCGAGTGATTTGGTTGCATGAAAGATGGAGAGTGTAGTGTTGAGATGCAGAGGAGTAGTTTTGAAAGAAAATGTTGCAAGATGCAACACTTGAGAACATTCGAGAACATTCGAAATAGGCCGATTTTCAAAGTAAGAAATGGCAGTTGAGATGAGGAGGCAGGATAATGTGACGCTGGAGAAGGCAAGAATGAAGAGAGCTAGATTTGAGAAGGAAAGTTTATAGAAATGAAAACCAAAGACAGTGAATGTTGGTATAAGTTACCTTTTTTGCTTTTTTTTTTTTTTTTTAATAAAAACAGGTTAGAACATATGAGTATGTAGGAAAATAAAAATTTAATAGAGGTATTATCACATCCCCCCCCCAAAAAAAAATAAGAGACTAAGC